CACAGACTCCAATTGAAAATAGTAAAAGTTTTCACGACTGCACTCGATCAACCGAACCATTTTCGAAAGGGTCTCAACTGAGCGGTGATTCTCGATTCGACTTGGTCGGGACTCACTCCCGGCAAGCCTCGTCGAATATCTCACCTTCCTATAATAAGGTCACTCAAGTCCGGGTTAGGACTTATCTCACAATAACAGGTATCCCCACAAGGTACAATGATATATAAAAATAATTAATAAAATATCATACAATAAACAAAATAGGGATAACCCTTAAAAATTAGGAGAGTCCCCAGTGAAGTCGCCATTTTCTGTTGCGGTTAGAATATGATTTCAAATTATTAATTAATTTGAATCGCATCTTTAGTTCACAACCGCTCTTTGATTTATCCGAAGGAAAAGGTCAAAAGAGGAAAACCTAATTTTGCATCGTAAAGACAATGCAGGAAGAGATCTAGGTAAGGGGTTGGTTAAGCTTAGGGAAGGTACTAGCACCCTAAACTTCTGTAGTACTCTACAGGAACCTTTTGTTTATTGTATGCTTTTTTATTTTATTATTTGTTTGAAATATATTGCTAAGGGATAGAGTGACCTAAAGACCTAAGGGTTAGTCCTAAGTTTACTCGGCAAGACGTCGCGTCTTGTGCCTACGTATCCTGGATAGGGAATGGAATCAGAGTAATCGTAGTTCCCCTCGAAAGGGAGGTTAGAAACGTCTTGACTGTGGTCAAGGTTTCAATGGGGAATAAACGTATCTTAAGGACACGCTTATGTGGAGTCTTTGAAACTCCTATTTCTACGTTGAATTTGTTAATTAAAAATTTAGGGTTGAAATTAGGGATTCCACGGCGGGAAACCCTAAAATAAAGTACGGCGACTCTTTGACCTAAAACTAGGGTAAAGGGTATTTTTGTCCACGGCGGGACGCCTAGGTTAATTAGGGTTTGAGACGGCTAAAACTAGGGTTATTGACTCGGCGGTCAAACAACTAGACCTAATTCCTTCGGAGGGAATTCTAACGGTAAAACATGCAAACATGACAAAATATTATACGGCAAAATTAAAGTGCGGAAAGTAAAGAAAGCGTCGCGACGATCACTCGCGTAAATTACAAATCCCAAAAAAACAAAAACAAAATAAATCGCGACCATGGCCTCGCGTAAATTACATCCATGGAACAAAATAAATTAAAATAAATATGAATCATAATCTATGTATAATCTGAGGAGAGAAACAGAGAACGTTAGTGAAAAGTTAGACGAAAATATGGCAAACATATTTTATATTAAAAGAAACACGAAAATGCAATTTGGAATTTTTATTATTGTTTTGTTAATTTTTATATTTTTTTTTTATTAAAATTTTAGTCTTAATTTTAAAAGGTTTTAATTTTTAAATAAACAAAACTTTAGTTTTAACTTTTTATCTTTAGAAAGTTTTAATTTTAATTTTAATTTTTAAAAGAGAAAGTCTTAAATTAAAAAAAAACTCTAATCATAAGTTTTTTTTTTAAAAGAAGAAGTTTACATAAAAAAAGGTTCGTTAGTCTTACTTTAAAAGAATGTTAGTTTTAAAATTTTAAAGAAAGTTTTAGAAAAAAGTTTTAACCCTTTCTAACATGTTTTAATTTTTAATCTTTAAAACTTAAAAAAAATGTTAATTTTAATACTTAAAAAAAAGTTTTAATTTTAGGACTGGGTTAATTTTAAGTTAGTAAAAATGTTTTCACTTAACTATAAAAGTGTTTTAAACACTGTTTATTTATTAAAAAAAATTATTAGTGGTTAGTGTTTTAATTAAGAAAAAGTTTTAAGTTTTTTACTTACTGTAATTATAATCAAAAACTGGTTTTAGTTATAATTCACAAAAAGGGTTTTTAGTTAGAAAAAAAGAAAAGGTTTAAAAAATGAGAGTTTAATTATTTGGAAGAGGTTTTAATTGGGATAACATAAAAGCTTACATTTCAGTTGCCGGTTGGTGATGCTTTCGCTTGTTCTTCGCCGGCGGCAATGGTTCTCGACGAACTTCTTTGGATCTCTTTTCCTCTTTCTCAAATGGAGGTGATGATGATGAGCTTCGAAACTCTTCTGAACCTCCGGATCTTGACGACCGCCGTTTTTCTTTTTGTCTCCTTTTCTGATGACCTGTTCTTGATTTTCTGATGTGAATGAAGTTTCCTCCCATCACTTATGTTTATATAGGTAACAAATTAGGGTTAGCTCTAACCTAATTCCCACTTTAAAGCCCAACTTAAAGAATTAGTCAAAACTAAATTAAAACAAACTTAAAACAAACTTAAAACTCTATTTATTTACTAAATATAATAAAATATTTTCTAATATTTTTAATTTTTTGATTTTTTGATGTTTTTTTATGAATAATATGGGAAAAAGTGAAAAATAATATTTTTAAAAAAATAATTTAAATAAAATACGAAAATAATAATTAAATAATTAAAAAAACTATTTTTGTTATTTTTTTTTATGAAAAATAGAAAAGTTAGAACAAAAATAAAAGAAAAACAAAAAGTGAAGAAGGTGGGATTTGAACTCTCGACCTCTCACACTCACAACTCCTTACACACGGTCTCTTGCCAATTGTGCCATTTTATTCATTCAAAATAAAGTGGCACTAGAAACTATGTAAAGGTAGGACAAATTTGGGGTGCAACACATGGATCACTCGGGCAGAGACATACTTTGAGGTACAACGAATTTCGCAGGATGTTCGTATTCAGTTGACCAAATTGAGTATGGAAGGCCCTACTATCCATTGGTTTAACCTATGGCATGATTCAACAGAGGAAGTGTCATGGGAGAACCTCCGTGAGGCGATGATGGTTCGATTTGGAGGTGGGCGTTTGGAGAATCCGTTTGAGGAATTAAAGGAACTAAAACAATCGGGATCAGTAGAGGAATATATTGCTGAATTCGAACTGTATTCTTCACAGTGTGGTCGTTTACCAGAACAACAATTTCTAGGTTATTTCATTGGTGGTTTACGTCATGATATTCGTTCTCGTGTGCGTACCTTCAAGCCTCGCAACCGTTACCTAGCAATGCAATTGGCTCGTGATGTTGAAAGTGAATTTGCAGTGGCTTCTGGACAGGGTTCTGAAGCACGTTACAAACCGGGTCATGGTTCTTGGACAAAATCTCAAAAGCCTAATTGGGCTTTTCGCGAAGGGGAAGGGAACGGATCTGCAACTCAGACCCAACCTAATAATCCTTTGGGCCAAACGCGGACTGGTTCGGATTCTGGATCTCAAACCATCTCAACACGTCCTACCAATTCTACAGCATCTTCTCGCCCAAATTTAGGTGACAATTCACGCCGTCAATCTCGTGGTGTTCGCCATCTACCAAGTGCAGAGGTTAATGAGCGTCGTGCGAAAGGACTCTGTTTTCGTTGCAACGAACGATGGGATCCTCTCCATCAATGTGCAACAAGACAGTTACGAGTGATTATCTTGGGGGATGACGAAATTGTTAACGATGCAGGAGAGATTGTGGTGTTGGAGGCTGCGACGGAAGAAGAGCTCACACAAGAGGAATTAGAATGTAAAACCATGGGGCTGTTTGGTGTATCCACTAATCCAAATCAGGTCCGGAGGATGAAATTGGAGGGATGTTTACAAGGTGCATTAATTCTGGTACTTATTGACAGTGGAGCCACACATAATTTCATATCACCTAAGGTGGTTGAAGCCCTGGGATTGTCTATGGTGCCTTCTAATCCTTTGGGTGTTAAGTTAGGAGATGGTCATCGTGTCCTAACTAGGGGTAGATGCAATGGAATTCAGATGAAAGTGGGATCAGTGCAGATTTGCTTTGATGCTTATGTGTTGGAGTTAGGAGGTGTGGATTTGATTTTAGGAGTTGTGTGGCTAGAAACTTTGGGGAAGGTGACCATGGATTGGAAAGAAATGTCTATGGAGTTCAACCATAAAGGCAGTATGGTGAAACTACTTGGTCAGGCTGTAGATGATAAGATGGCTACTTTCCAAAGCATTATCACTCTTTCTCGAATGATAGCAGGCTGTGAATGGCCTACCTTGATGGAGGTGTTAGGGTCACCGGTGTCGTGTGTCTCTGATCAACAGACTAAGGAGTTGGAAGGATTGCTGAAGAGTCAATTTCCTGATCTGCGCCTTGAGGACAAGGCTAATGTTGTAGGTGGGGGTGATGATAGGAATGGATCGGATCCCACAAATGATGATGGGAATGTGTTAGTTAATAGAGATATTATTGGACCTAAACAATGGAGGGTATATGTGAGAAAGAATAGGAAACTCCACAAATAAATAGGAGTTAGTTTAGGTATTATTCTCCATATAAATAGGAGTTAGTTTAGGGATTATTCTCCATATAAAGAGGAGTGTATGGGGCAGTAGTTAGACATTGATTGATTTTCTGTTTTTGACCTTAGGGTTTGGGCAGTGAGAGAATAGTTTCTCTGACTGAGGAGCAATAGCTCTGGAATTTATTTTACTTTCATATTAATTAATAAAATACTTTTCTTTATTATATACCTCTGTTCTATCATATTCACTAGCATGAAACAATATAGGATTGATTTTACACTATTTAGACAAGTCTATTTACAATTTAATAGATGCTAGCCTAGAATTACGTGGAGTGTATCTGTTCTACAGGACTGACATTAAGAAAACATAAATCTTTGCAAAATAAATTTTAAATAAACAAGGAAAATAATCAAAAGCTAATTATGCAGACTAACACATTACAAATAGTTTATTTTTACTCTAGGTGTATTTACAATTGTCAGTACTAATTTGTATTTAGACCTTTAGTCCATTAGTCGGACCCATTAGGTTAGAATAGTCTATAGAAAGAGATTAATGCTTGTACATTATTCATGTATTATTCAGTTTTCACATGACACGTGCTGGTTATCGGTCCGGTTTTCATTACCACGAAAGATTACTACTATCTTGAACTGTAGTTTGTAATTTACATTCTGCCTGTTGTTTATTGCAGGATGAATCAAATCTATATATCTTTATCGAGTTTGTAACCAAAGGTTCCCTTTTAAGCCTCTACAGGAGGTATAAACTTCGAGATTCCCAAGTATCTGCTTATACAAGACAAATTCTGAATGGTTTAAAGTATCTTCATGATCAAAATATTGTTCACAGGTGATTCCAAAATTTATTAATTTATTGATTTATTTTTCTATTCTTTGTGGTATAAAATAGAGATGAATTTTGGTGTTCTTGCTTTCCTTGCATGAAAGAAACTTCCACTTGCTGTCTCATAATTACAATATATTGTTTTAAAATGACTTTATAGTATTAGTGTTTCTTTTTCTTCTTGTTGTTAACTGGTTATTTAGAAAATTCCTTCATTTTCATTGTCCGAGGCACATTTTACATATATATTGGGAAATATAGGAAAGGGGACGGAAAAAGGGGGAAAATTGTAGGGAGAAAAGGATTTCACATCCAATTATTGTCCTTGCTGTTCTCTTTTTCTCTCAATTGTATTACCTACGATAAGTATTCTAGTGTTTGCTTTTGGCTTGTTGTGACAGGACCTAGAAGAATAAATGGGTATGGTATGGGGTTAGGTTAGAGAATACAGTTGGATATCCATCTAGTTTGTTGCAGTTCAAATCTATCACAGGGATGGGTAGATTGAAAGGTTTAAAATAAAAGGACCTAGAGAGAGATGGGAGGCATTCAGTAATTTGGATGTGAGAAATGATCAAAGACTCTGTTGTAGGGGAAAACCCTTGGAGGAATCTTCTTTCTCCTTTTCTGAGTATTTTCAATCAAATTGTTCATTTCCTATGACTGTTTCTATCAATTTCTCATTTCTCTTCCCTGTGTCTCTAACAACTTGTGTCTTTGCAGCATTGAATGTGCTGTTGGATATGAATTTCGCAAAAAAGAAATGTTCTTTTCATTGATATCAGACTAATTTGAAATTGAGATGTTGAATATTTTCCGTAACCCTAAGCAAATCTGATATTTAGCCTTAGAAACAACCTAGTATTTAAGCTTTAGATCGAGTATAAGAAACATTTCAACTTGTTCTTGGAACTTGAAACTGTATAAACATCTATATGACATAAGAGTTAGTGTCAGAAATTTTAAATGGTGCAGTTTTATTTCTTTTTGGTTTATGGTGTCACAATTTACTTTGCATATTTTATTTCTGCATTAATGTGTATCAGTTATGTAGTGTGCCACAAAGCAATCTTTCTAAATATAGCCTGACTATTTTCCCTCCTACATAAAGGGATATTAAATGTGCAAATATATTGGTTGATGCAAATGGGTCTGTCAAGGTTGCGGATTTTGGATTGGCAAAGGTGACCTTTTTCTACTCTGCTTCAGTTTCCGTCAAAGTTTGACTTTAGTAACGAGTCTGTACTAGCTTCAATTGCATAAAATATAATTTCTGTTTACTAATTTTATTCCATGGTTGTTTTTCAGGCAATTAAATTGAATGATGTTAAATCATGCCAGGGAACAGCATTCTGGATGGCACCAGAGGTTTGTCGTCAATCTTCTCTTCAAATAAGAATTATGGAATAATGGTTCAAGATATTTGTTACATTGTTTATAACTTCTTAATAGTTTCTTCAACAGTTAAGTTGTTGGATCCACGGTTGTTACATATAGATTGAGTTTATGCTCTTCTACTAGTTCAAATGCTTGCATTGATTTTCTCTGAAGTTATTGGCATTCCACCATGTAAATCTTTACCATACATAATTGATTAAGCAACAATGGGTTGTCTTTAACATATTTTAATAGGTTTAGTTGTAAAGCTAAAATAATAAATATGGGAAAAACAAAGTCCCACATATCAACAATTTGAGCTACCCACCATTTGTTATATCCACGCGCCAAGCCCAATAGTGTTGGGCGTGAGGGGGTGTACCCAACCACAATTTTATTAATAAATTTTGAATCTATGGACATCAAAATGTAATAGACTACATGTAATCTCTATGCATATAATGAATCATTACTTTATATTTTATAATGAGGTAAATACTCAATTTGGTTTCTGAAATTGTAGGATTATATGAACCTAGTTTCCCACTTTTGATATTCCAAAACGATCTTTGAAATTTCAAAATGTTTATTATGTTTGTCCTTTGTTGATATTTGCACGGGCTATAGTGACATTAATTGATGTTGGAGATGCATTTGAAATTAAGTGAATAATGTTAGGGACATATTTGATAGCAAATCCAGAAAGAGGGACCAACTTGTGATTAATATTTTGGTCACTGTAATTGTAAAATCGTATCAAAAGAGTAATGATACTTTGGTAACTGTTAGGTTTCTGCGTTTACTTGTTGGATTAGAAACCTTGTACATGCTGGACTTCATCAGTCTCCTTAACAACCCCTTCCCCTTAGATACACCTTCAAAAAAGAGGTTTCATTTTATGATTCTTATTAGGTTAAGCAGTGATTCTTAAGCTTTACTATGGTAATATGCAGGTTGTAAAAGGAAAAGTGAAAGGTTATGGACTTCCTGCTGATATATGGAGTCTAGGATGCACTGTGTTGGAGATGTTAACTGGGCAAATTCCCTACTATCCTATGGAATGTGTACGTATCATATTAGCGTTTCAAGCTCATAATCCAACTATGTTTCTTCTTTTTACCACGCTATTAAGATGAGATTAAACTTATGTGACTTTTCAAAGTTAAATAATCAATAAATAATTTTTAATTGTGGCCATTGGCATCTGGTTGCATGGTTTAGATTTGCTATTCTTATATAAAAATAGTCCTTTCGCTAGCGAGACTGTCATTTTTGTATTAGAGTGAGAGGAGTTAAACTTACGTGACTTATTAAAGTTGTTAAATAACTAATGAATTACTTTTAATCCTAGCCATTGTCACATGGTTGCATGGTTTAGATTTACTCTTATTCCTGAATAAAATTAGTCCTTTCACTCGCGAAAGTACCATTTTGTGTGTTAAGAGTGAGGAGTAATCTTGATTCAAAGATCTAACCATGAGTGGTGAAGACAAGATTAAAACAATAGTCATGTAACGCTATTTAGATGGTTGTATGACCATCAAAACTTCCCAATCTTTATCGTTTATGTATAATTGTGTGGTCTAGATTTACTCCTCTCACTCTTACTCACATGTCCCCCTATTTTATATGTGTATATAAAAGAAATGATCAAATTACATTGTATAAGATTTTAGGACCACTATTCACTCTTTTTTACAGAATAATTGTATTTATAAGATTCACCTGAAAGTTACAATAAATAAAATCATATCTTATAAGTATTAAGATTTTTCATAATTTAAAAATAATTTAATGTCATTCATATATTCAGATACATAAAATTTATGTTATATGTGGTTTCTAAACATATAAAAATAAAAATAATTTAGTTATGAATTTATTGTGTAAATCTGATGAGATTTGAGACAAACAACTAATCTAATAAGTAGTTATTATTCAACAAAACTCATTATATTTAAAATTATTAATGATGAGAGTTTTAAAGGGTTGTGGGTAAAATTTGATTCCCTTAAAATTTATATTGATACATTGCATTACTGCTGGTTTTGATTTCAAAGCTTTGATGAATCTCTTCTGACAACAGATCACCGCAATGTTTAGAATTGGAAAAGGGGAACTACCTCCGGTACCTGATTCTCTTTCAAGAGATGCTCGTGATTTCATCCTGCAGTGTCTTAAAGTTAATCCAGATGATCGTCCCACTGCGGCTCAACTCTTAGACCACAAATTTGTCCAGAGGTCATTCACCCAGTCCTCTGGCTCTGCTTCTCCATATACCACGAGAAGAGGTTAAACTTGTCATCTCCATCATTTTAACATAGTTAAGGTAAAGGTTCTCTCTCAATTTGCTGCCCTGTTTATGCCTTTTCATCATGACAGCTGAATCATCATTGTTTTTTGTACAAAAAACCCTAACTTTTGGTATCTGTTTGATGGGGATAAGTAGTATCTTAGATGCTTGAAGTGCTAGTTTCAGAATTGAATACACATGATGCATGCTTTATTTAAGTTAGGTGGTGCTCAACTGTGTTCTAATTATATTTTGGGGACAAATTTTCTTTCTAATAAATAATTTCTGAAACAGGAAGAGGATAAAGAAAACAAAAGGTTTCCTAACTGGTTTCCAGTGGAAATCTCAGATGGCAAAGTACACCTATGCAAACCATTGCAGCAAGGGTTTATCTTATCTTCTTCGGTGGCTTATTTGATTATTTAATTCTTGATGACAAATCTCTCATTCGTTGAATTTAAAATGCCTCCAATGTTCGGTCTTCAAGTTGTTAGAGTTGGACTAAAGGCTCATTGTTGTAGCAGTTGTTGGTTGTGTTTTGCCTTTAGGTTTCAGAGTTTTCTTGGTTGTGTTGTAACATATATTTTAGGCACTGCTTTGGTTCTAGCATTCCAGAGAATTAACTGGCTTATACCGGTTGGCCCATGTGTATTATGTAATTATTACTCAACCATAATATGTTTGTCGTAGCATGACGGAATTCTATCATCAACTAAATGTAAAAGGTTGCCAGGGTCTTCTACCAATTTGTAGGCTAAACTTCTGGGAGCGATAGGAGCAAGAGTTGGACACTATTGTTGCTATTTTTGTACATGTTACATTTGTAAGTAGGAAATTATCATGTGTGTATCTTTAATTCTATATTTCCGAACTTGTTCTCATTGTCAACATGGTTTCTGTTTTGTTCTTTTATGTTTTGATCATTTGATGTGCAAGTAAAGACTATGTTCCACAGTTGACAAAGTAATTTAGGGCTAAATTTTCCTGCTGGAGAAAGTAATGAGATATAAAGGCGTAGAAGAAATAACTGATCTAATAGAATTAGTCTTCCAAGTATTCATAAATATATAATATAGTTTTTCAATATATGATGAAAACAAAAAGGATAACGAGGAATTGAAGCTAATTTCCATTACCTTACATAACATCACCAGATCTTAATTGCTCTTCGTTACCACTTTATTTCTTTGCAAGACAATTTTTTCAACATGCACTTCAGTTTCATCTGAGTATTAAAAAGTAAAAAAAGAAAAAACAGAATCAGACCATTCTAGCTGATATTAATCACAAGGAAAATTAACTAATAATCCAGAATGTGTAATTTTATAATTAATATATTACCATAAACAAGTAACAGCATTTGTTTCCTTTACACTTTCTCTTCATGCCTCCTTTTGATTCCCAAAATGTATCTAAACTTTGAGTCAATTGTGACCATAAACGCTTCTATCAAAATTTCACAAAAATCTAAAAGTTATAATGTAGTCTTATGATCTGCATCGACCATACTTATCTCTAATTTACCATAAAATATTTCTAAAAAGAAGAAAAGAAAACTTGCCTTGATTTTTGATTGTGGTTGAGCATCAACATTTTGAGAGGCTTCGATTTTTCTGAGGTATCTAGAGTATGTAAGAAGCTGAGCCTTACGGTCATAGCCACGTGCTGTTTTTGATTCAACTTGTGGTTTAGTTTTCTTTGTATGATCCTTATTTGATAATTTGTTTGATGATCGAGTTTGCGACGATTCCACGTAGACTGTGATCACCACACCGTTCTCTGTATTTTGGTTCTGTTTGTTCCTTTTGTCTTTTGCCAATGCCATTTGCTTAGGTGATATATGGTGTGATTGACGATCGTTAAGCTTTTCAGTTGTTTTCAGAAGATAGATCCGTTCAAATCCACACATTGGTATGTATGAGAGACAGAACAACAACGGATTTGGGAATTAAAAGGTGGGGTGACTGGTGAGTTGTAAATAGGATTTGGCGAAGGAAACATTTCTTTCGATATATTCTTCAAATAGAAGTGAGCTGCATCGCTGGAGAAGTGTGATATGAAGAAGTTAGTTGACCGGTTTAAACCATTTTTTCCCTTCCAAATGTTTTAAAAATAAATTGAAATAACACTAACTAGTTAGGCGGGGTATTCTAATAGTATGTATTACAATCTTGGGCTAACATAGTCTGAAATGAAAATATTTTGGGAAATTCTTAATGCATATGTTATTTATTTATTATGTGAAAATACTTAAATGTCTTTTGATTTCGAAAATGCATTTCTGAACGCACCCAATTATCAGTTAACGTTAAAATATTCAGGAAAAATATCTTCAAAATTATTTCAGAGATGCATCTCTGGAACGTTTTGGAGCTTATATCGCGCCAGAATCCTTCTCCTTTCTCATTTCTCATATTTCTCAATCTCTTCAAACTTTCTCAAATTTTTTTCAACATCAAGTCCAAAATCGAGCAACCAAGGTCAAAGGAACTTCAATCAACATCAGAAACATCATCCAACACTCAAGCAAAGTTAAAAATTGTAAGTTTTTTGATGTTTTGAATAGTTTTTGAGTTTTTTTTTTTTTTTTTTTGTAAATGAGTAGAAATTGATGATTAAGGTAATAAATGAGTAGAAATTGGATAATTGATAGTTTAAACATAGTGTAAAACATGATAGTTGGCTGAAAATGATTATCAATGCAATATTTTTTGTGTTTCCATGTCAGCATTGACGCACTTACTGAGTCGCAGAAAATTTCGAAGATGCATCTCCGAAAATTTTCAATGTTTTAGTATCCTAGCAACTGGAGATGCATCTCTAGAATTTTTTCAGTATTTTTTTTTATTTTCTTGCTTATAGTGTTGTTTTCTTGCACTAATTGTATGCTTTACTTTAACTTACAGGCATAATGGATGATAGACACGATAAATTAAGGCAGAGGAGGATTGCCAAACACACATCAGTGCGGTGGAAAAACACTCAGCAGGTTTCAGAGGCTCTTGGTCCCTCTGGCCTTGCAGAGCCATCTACTTATGAGGCTCGTGTTTCTCCTCATGTTTCTCCATCTTCTTCTTCTTGCAGAAGATGAGTTTCACCTACCGACACATCACTTCATCCATTCTCTTGCAGGTACCACGTTTCACCTATTCATGCGTCTGAGGTACCCGAGTCACTAGTGGTACTAGAGGCATCATTACCACCTTCTACTGCTAATACTATTGAGCTAGTGCTACCTCTTGAGACATTTGAAAGAGGAGAATTGTCATTACTACCTCTGTACCTAGACCATGCTACCTGTAATATCCCAAATTTTGCCCTAAGATTTGTCGGTTCATCTTGCATTCCATTGCATGTTACATTGCATTTAATCAGTCGCTAACATGTTTGTGTAGCTGGTTTAATCAAGCGGTGAAGGGTAAAACAGAAATTTTTTGCAGCCGCCCGTCAAATTACGAATTTTGAGCTGTGATCAGGAAATTTGGGCTGTTTGATCTGGTTGATGAGAATTGATCGGAAATTATGTCGGAGACGGGATTAGTCGAACAAATTAGATGAATCGGGAATTAAAAGAAATATATAGGATTTTAGTGGTCTTGTCATCTCATTTTTTTTTAAAAAAATCATTGTTATTTTCATTTCATTTCTTTCAATTTCATTGCATTTTTTTATTAATCTAATTTCATTTTAATTTCATTTTCAAGTTAATTACATTCTTAATCAAAACATATTCTATTTTTTATTAATAATTTCGTTTTAAGGGAAAAATCAAGTTCATTTTTTTTGCAAGTTTGTGTTCATTTCATTTAAATCAAATCTTATTGCATTTTTAAATGTTTATTGTTAAAATAATTTTTGTTTCTTTTTGACAGGAGGTTTATTCCATTTGTTATCAAAAGAAATGATAATGGTAGTTTTACTTTATTTTTATTGTTATTCCCTTATAATATATGAAAAGAGATTAACTTTATTATAATAAATACAATTTACATTTTACAATATCCAAAAACACATAAATTACAAAAACATTTAATTACATTTTACATAAAATAATAAATTTTTAAATTCCTAAATTTCTTCCGGTTATCCGATTTTCTTCGACTATTCTCGAGTTTCCAACTCTTCCGATTATCCATTTCAAACCTGCAAAGAATAAGCAAACAAGCGGTTTATCGGTTAATGTTCCTGACACCCTCAGAATGGTATCATCATCGGGTGTCGGGAGGGTAACAGATTAATCCGAAACCGACTCCCGACTCTATTCCGACCAAAGACAAAGTTCAGGTAATAATCTGTTCCAATGAGGTCACCGAGGAAGAGAGATGATAAAAAAGTGCTTTTGGGAAAAAGTTGGTTTGAAAAGTGCATATCCAGAAAAGTGTTTTTTTTGAAAAAGCACTTATTTTCAAAAAGTGTTTTTCCAAAAAAAACGTTTTGCCAAACATGGCCTTAACGTTTTTCCAAGGTTTCAACGGATTCAACCGTGGTCCAACATGCAAAACAAAATTTTACAGAATCACAAACAACGTTTCCGCATCGGCGAGTCAAAGCAACAGATCATCCAAAAGTTCCTGCAAGAAAATCGCAGCAACAGATCCAAAAGCCAGCAAAATCACATCAAAACGAGTCAACAAAATCATCAACCATTTCCTGATGAATCTCCTAAAAATAAGTTCATCAGAGAAGTTAGGAGAAAGTTAAAAGCCCAAATCAAGATCGAAAACAAGATATAAATCATCAAGGTTTTTTCAGAAGAGGGGGCGAACAAAAAAAAAGCGGCGAACCCTCAGTGCGAAAACGGCGAGACTCAGGATCTTTTTGGGATTCATCATCGTCTCTGAAGAACAAAAACGGCGGCAACGCAATCGAGAGGTTCAGAGAAACTCTTCGAGTTTCATCATCATCACCTCGTAAAGAAGAAGAGGATAAAAGTATTAACGGCACCATCAAAGAAGTTCACCAACAAACCGGATCGGTGGCGGCGGAACCTACAAGGGTTCGAA